ATTTAAAGACTTAGATGAGATGGTAAATAAAATAATTACCTAAAACTTACTTCTCATATTCATGACAATAAATTTATATCTTAATTTAAGCCAAAATTTTAAGTTATTATAACATGAAAAAAAAAAAATTATTGATTTAACTTGATATAATTTATGATAAATTTCTCCAAGTAGGAATTAATGTTGGTTGAATGATGAGAAGGAATAAGTTAAGAACTCCTTGTGGTCCAAGTAGTGGCATGAGAATGGTACACGTAACACGCTGAAGTGGAATGCTTACCTTCGAACTTCGAAATGAAAAAAAAAAAAAAAAGTATATTATCTTCCCTTCCTTCCTTTTGCTTTTTATCTTAAATCACAAAGTGTAAAACATGGATTTGATTGGACCTTAAAAAACGTCAAAGCCACACGATACTTTTCTTTTCTTTTCTTTTCAATGTGAAAGGGATTAAGTATAATATAAAAAACCAAGAAGAAGAAAGGAATGGAATGGAAAAGGAACCAGCGATTCGTACTATGATCGGCGTTAAGCGTAAGCCAGTAATTTTTCATTGTTCATTAAATTTAAGCCCATGTGCTCTGCTCTGATTCGTTTCCTTTCATTGTTTTAATTACTAAAACAATGTTCACTTATTAAATGAAACATTTCATTTAAAATCTCCCTCTATTTAGAGATTAAATTAATGTCTACCTTAAAAGTGAGTAAAGTTGTGATAAATTTTAAATAAAATGAGATTCTATTCCAAATTGCTAACTTCTTTCCAAGTATTCAAAACTTTGTGATTAAGTAAGCAAAAGTCACATTCGCATCACTAAACCCTTTTCATTGTGACCTTACCCAATGCAATATTCTCATTCATTCACTTATACCAATCTACATTCCCCATTACAAAATAATTAATACCCCTATCAGGTGGGATTCCTTATTTATTTAATCATTATTTTTTTACGGGGATTTTTTATTTTCTAAGCATTCTCGCGTAGGAAAAAAAAAATGAAATAAACCGTAAATTTGACCCATAAATTATAAGATAAGCTTTCCTCTCTACATGGGTCTAGTTTTAGTTTTGACATTGAGTGAGAACACACTTTTAAAAGTAACAAGTGATACTAAAGTTGGGAGTAATATAGCTTAAAGCATAAGGAATAAACATAGTAGGAAGATATGATTGGATGAAAGTTTAATTTTAACTTTAAATTAGCCAATCATATCTTGCCATATAATATTATATGAGAAATATTGTATAAAAATGATGTATGTGTAGTATTATTCTTATATTTATTTTAAATATAATAACAACAAACAATATTATATTTAAAATGTACAACTTTTACTTTATTTATTCCTTAAATTTTGGTACTAAATTGAACTCAAAAGTGACTATGTTTTAACTTTAAAGTGACTATGTTTTAACTTTAATCTCACAACTTTATTAATTTGATGGAAAGAAAGATTATTAAATGGTATCAATGGCGGGTACAATAGTAGTTTAGTGGACTGATGGCAGGGTTTCAATGGTGGGTACAATAGTAATTTAGATTTTAAACTTTTTTATGCTTATAACTGGAAGGTGCCTAATTCAAGACCGTGTCTTGTCAGAAGTATCTTACGTTCACCAACCCATTCCAGCCGGTAAGAGAGGTCAAGATAGTAAACAATTTGCTTATGCCCTTTATTAAAGAGCTGGTATAACATGTTATTAGACTATTCCTTTAAATAAATCTTTTTTCAGTGGCTTTTCAGTAAAAAAGCAAAAGAATTTAATATGAATTATTGAGTTAAAGTTTCCTCAAATACTAATTCATCGTCTACAACATACGCTAATTCATGGCTTACAAGTTTTAATATGTCAGTAACACTATGGCTGTGTTGGTTAAGGCCTTTGAAAGATTATTTTGGTAATAAATATTTTAATTTGGTCATAATCTTGTTTTATTTAATAGATTTTAAGAAATTTTTGTAATTTTTTATTATTTAAATAATATGAAAGGTGATATAAAATGTTACGTGTTTACCACTTAGAGAGTAATATTTTAAGATTATCGTGTTAATCTTTTTTTTTTCCCCAATTTTACCATTACTTTTTCAATATTCCTAACACAAATGCCTTGTTATTAATGTCAAATAACAATTTGAATGATTTCTTTAATCTTATTAATTAATTAATTATTTGGACAAAAATATTCTGTAAATATTTTTTCAGTAAAATAATATCTAATTATTTTATAATTATTATTCAAATATATTAATTATTTATATAATCAGTGAACGATAATAATTTATATATATTAATATTTGAGATTATCTATCTCATTAATAAATTTATTATTTTCGTAATAATATACTCATTATCCAACCAAACGATGTCCTTTGTATAATTTTTTTATTTAGCATTAAATAGACAAGTGTGACATGTCATGTCATTCGTTGAATTTTCAGTGAACTCAAAATTTAAAAATTGGTCAAAGCCACTGTATCAACGATGATGGGAGTAAGCTACTCTTTTCAGTCAACGGATTTGGTATCATCGTGGACTACTTTTCAATTACGTATTATCGACCAATCGTTGAATCCCCTTCCTTGAGAAGTTTCCTTATCCTTAAGCCTGAGGAAAGCGTTGCAGTTTCTTCCTGGTGACGTCTTGGCCTTATCCCCTACATGCTAATCTACGGTAATACCTTAAAACTCAGCTTTCGTTGGTCCACGTCAAGCTGTCGTTACATGCCGCCAATAGCAACTCGTGAAGTGTAGTAGAAGTTTTCCTTCCCGCCAACTTCATTTATTTGATATATTTTGCCTTTCTAAAGTAGGGGTGGTTGTACGGAAAGAAGTATTGCTTTGTCATTGGCCTTTTCGGATCTCTCTTTTTCACTTTATTCTTTTCTCCGCTCCGTCTTTGCTCATTCCTGACGTGTCAATGAGTCTAAACCTCAAAGCCCTTTTTTTAAAAAAAAAATTTAAAAGATAAAAAAATATTTATCTAAATCTTGCTGAGTTCAATAAAGTTATGCTTATAATCTTTCTCTCATAATTCCAAAATATCGGCTCATAATTTATCAATTTACAATTTACAATTTAATAGGCAGACTTATAATCCCCTGTTGATTACTAAATAAAATTTACTAGATTAGTTATAAGTATAATTACCCTTATGACTTTTTTTAAATTTTGAAATCGTTGTAGGGTCCATGCCTTGGAAATTATCGTCCTCCCTTTCAGAGTTGCAGGGGGAGCGCCGACTCTAAGACTAGGTAATCATGATTTGTCTTTGTGTGGATAAAAGAGCAGGCGAAAATAATTACAGCTACAGATACTCGCAAATGGTTTTGTCGTTTCGGTCAGTCGGAGTCGGTGCAGAGATAGAAAGCCTGGAGTGCAATAAAAAAACAGTTCAGGGGTGAATGGTTGACACGTGTCGTCCTTGGGCTTTCCGTAGCGAGTACGAAATTTTACATACATGTATGAATGTTGGCACTGTTGTTTGCTATAGGTCACTGTCTGTTAGACTTCACTTCATGACTTCAACAGAGATCATGTTTCCCCAATGGCGTGGCGATTTGTGAAATGGTTTTCCTTTTTCATTTTATTAACAATTTCACCCCAACAACTCTACTGCTTTTCTTTCCTTATCTTTCTTCGTATTCATTTTTATTTAATTAATTATTTTAAATAAATATTTAAATTAAATTAAAAAAAAGGGGCAGCATTGCCCTTTTCTCTCTAGAGTATTTGTTGTTATTCATATATGGTAATTGTTTTTTAAAATCTATATTGAGTAATTTAGTAACTAATAGGTAAAGGTTGATACGCACACACAATCTTAAGATAATGCAAATATACCGAACTACTCCTAAGCTATGATACTTTATTTTAAATATGGTTCGTTTTTCTATTTTTAATAGCTAATTCTAGAGTAAATGACTTTTTTCCGCAAAAGATTTGCTTTAATGATACTTTCAATTAATTTTTTTTTCAAAATATCTTTTTTTTACTCAAAATTTATATTTCGTTAATTTTTAAAATATGCTTCACTTTTTTAATTACCAAGAACTAGGGTAAGAAGAGTTTATAGAATGGAGGTGGGTGGAACGAATGATGGTGACCAATTTAATATTTATCGTTGCAATCAACTAAAAATAAACTAAGAATATGAAAACTTATATTTGCGATGATCAACAATCAGCGAGAAATAGAACGAGAGATTTGGTAGAGAAGAGATTTGGTACCAAAAATGATTTTCATTGTCAAAATCAGTTTTGGGTATTAATGAAATATAAACTTTAGGTGGAAAAGTGGTATTTTGAAACTTTTTTGGTGGGGAAGTGTCATTGAGACAAACCTTGGGGAGGAAAATGAAGTTGACTCTTAATACCAAATCAAACCAATTAGTATTTATGAGACCCATCAAACTTTGCTTCTATGGTTTGTTTGGCTCACCATTAATTGAGAAATTTTACACCAAATCAAGTGATGATATCCTTCTCTTTATGCCTTAATATATCATTCCTTAAACCTAGCCTGTAAAATAATATGAACGTATTTTTCTACAATTTTACCACCTTTATTTATTGTATAACCAAAATTGAATCTCCGGATGAATGTTCTTCTATATCATAATATTTCTCATTTAGTAATTTAATATACATAAATGGTGCAAAATTGAAAACAAATAAATTAAAAATAAATTAATTCAGTTTTTATTGTACTCATTTACGATCCCTCTCCACTCAGGCACTCACCCTTGAGATATGGAGTATGTAAATGACGGTTATATCTGATTTGGTAAGCCTAAACGGCGGAATCCGGTTATTACTAGTTAGCCCACGCTCTTTTTGTGCTGTAGGGATTATAAACAGTTAAACACACCTAGTACAACAGAGGACTCATTTGAAATTATACTGATATAAAAAGGGCAATACCGTCAGAAAAAACTACCGCAGACGTAATTTAGTAAAGTAAACGTCGGGTCGTGGCATTAATTTCGCAGTACTGGCGAATATTTGTCCTTTATATATACTCTACTAGACCTCCGTAACTCCGTTTCATTTTCAAATTCAGCACTCCAAAATTTGCTCTTAATTTGTCACTATAACATTCGTTGATCCGAAATTTCTCTTAAACTCTGTCCTTCTACGAAAATGTCTCGCCGTGGTGGTCGCAAGTCTGAATCACGGCCTGCGCAGCCGTCTCCGGTACCGGCTCAGTCAACTCAGCGCGGCGGAGGTAGTGATCGAGGAGGGAGAGGGCGTGGTGGAGGTGGACCGGCTCAGTCATTTCAGCGCGGCGGAGGTGGTGATCGAGGAGGGAGAGGACGTGGTGGAGGCAGACCTGGTCAAGGTGTGGGCGGTAGAGGTTCGTATGCTGGTGCCGCCGACATATTAGTTCCGATACAGTCTCCTCCTCCTCCTCCTCCGGCATCTTCTTCATCGGCGCCGGGTCCGTCTCGTCTGCCTGTGTCTGTTCCTCCTACTACTTCTCTGAGCCAGGAGCTGCAACAACAGTTGACATTGGGGACACAGGATCCGGCAGTGGCCCCTGTTTCGTCAAAGGCCGTGAAATTTCCGGCCAGGCCTGGGTTTGGGACACAAGGCCGGAAATGTGTAGTGAGGGCGAATCACTTCATGGTCCAAGTCGCTGATAAAGATATCCATCATTATGATGTAAATGAAAAACTAAATTCTGCATCATTGTGTAGATGTTGGTTTTTAATTTTATTTTCTATTGACTTACTGCTTTTATAGGTGACGATAACTCCTGAAGTTACGTCAAAGAAAGTCAACAGAGATGTAATTTCTCAGTTAACTCGTATTTACCGTGAAAGTCATTTGGGTCAAAGAATTCCGGCATATGATGGCCGGAAAAGCATCTATACGGCAGGGGCTTTGCCCTTTGATTCAAAGGAATTTATTGTGAAGTTAAGTGACAAAGATGGCGAGGGGAGCNCCATCATTATGTAGATGTTGATTTTTAATTTTATTTTCGATTTTTTATTATTTATTTACCATATAGGTGACGATAACTCCTGAAGTTATATCAAAGAAAATCAACAGAGATGTAATTGCTCAGTTGACTCGCATGTACCGTAAGAGTCATTTGGGTCAACGAATTCTTGCCTATGATGGCCGAAAAAGCATTTATACGGCAGGGGCTTTGCCCTTTGATTCAAAGGAATTTATTGTGAAGTTAAGTGATAAAGATGGCAAGGGAAGCTCTTCTCGGTTGTCCAAGTAAATGAATTATTGATTAATGTTGTCTCTGGTTATGACTTTCAGTTGGCTCATGTTTTTTAATCTTAATGAATTTGTATTTCTACAGGGAGGATCGTCAATTTCTGGTGGGAATAAAGTTGTTTTTGAAACTTGATCTTTGTACTCTACAACAATTCTCGAGGGGTAGGCATATGGAGGCTCAGTACATTTTACAAGCGCTTGATGTTGTACTTAGATCATCTCCTTCAGAGAAGTATATATCTGCATTGAACTTTATTGTTTCATTGTATTATTATTCAAAGTTTATGATGCAGTAAAAGTTAAATATGTTTTACTTAATCTTCGGAAGAAAATATATGATGAAATTTTGTGGTAGTTACTTGGTTGTCGGGAGGTCATTTTTCTATCCTTCTTTGGGGCCCAAAGGTGAACTTGGAGATGGTGTTGACTATTGGAAAGGATACTTTCAGTCTCTCAGGCCAACCCAGATGGGATTATCACTTAATATCGGTATGCTTGATTAGATATCAGTTCTGATGCCTACACTTGTGTTTTTGTTATAATGTTAATTCGTAAATTTTTTTATGCTTGATCTTGCAGACACTTCAGCACAATCTTTTTATGAGCCAATTCTAGTTACAGACTTTCTTGCCAAGTATTTTAATTACAGAGAGCTATCAAGTCCACTATCTGATCAAGATCATATAAAGGTATTTGGGCAGTGTGTATATGATGTCTGCTATATGTTTTTCATTGCTTTTTTAGGAGGTTCATGTATTTAATTCACTAGGTAAAGACTTTGCATAATGTTTAGACGTTCCTTATTATTAGGAACTGGACTTGTACATTTCTTGTAGTTCATTTTAAAATTATTAAATTATTGGTTGGTCTGTATAAGCAGTAATTATGGGGTTGGATTTAAATGTGGTGCAATAGTTAATGTGTACAGGTGTAATATTACAATAAAATAAATGAATCATATTAGTTCAAATATATACTCCAAATTTAATTCATAATGGACCAAAAGAAGTTGAAAAATGTCTAGCTGTGTAGAGGTTCTATTCTTATTTTCATCACTTTGTGTGGTAAGTAGGACTGAAATGAGTTTCTTCTTTCTTATGTGATTTTTAAGTTGAAAAAAGCCTTGAAGGGAGTCAAGGTATTACTTACTCATACTGAAGATGCCAAAAGCTACAAAATCACAGGGATATCTGTTCTACCAATTAACCAATTAATGTAAGTTTGTATGTGATTTACCCATTTATGATGATATAGAATATAGAATTTTTTATTTTTTTGTAGAGCTAATGTGCATATTTGTAAATGGTACCGTGGAGGAAAGGGCAGGGATTATTCTTGTGTTCTTTTATTTTGTTTGTGGCAGCCTAATTTTGAATCCTGCCCCAATAACTGAATATGAAAATTTTCCAAAAAACTTGCCTTTAGCAGTGACACTTTGCTTAAGAAAGCGTACTTCAGAAATGATGCCTGAAAAGCTTCCGTGTTATGCTTTTACTATGTCTGACAAGCTACTATAGTTGTTAACTCTGTCACTCTGAGTTTTAATAACTCTCTCAATTCTAATTAGTAGTAGAAATTTGTTTTATTAATTATTACTATGTTGATAACTAAATTATTTTAATTATATGTTTGACAAGCTACTATAGTTGTTAGCCTCTGACTCGTTGCAACCACAACCTTCACAATTCTAATTAGTGTTAGAAATTTGTTTTAGTACTATGTTGATAACTATATTGTTAGTTACAGAAACCTTTACTTTTACGTCGTCACTAATTTCTGCATCATTAATTTTTAATAAATTTGTTTTCTCTAGGTTTACTCTTCATGGCAAAAGAAGAAAAATGTCGGTGGTTCAATATTTTCGTGAGAAATACAAGATTGGACTCAAATATACATTTTTGCCTGCCCTTCAAGCTGGGAATGATGCAAATCCTATATATTTGCCCATGGAGGTTTTCCCCTTTCTTATTATATGGTCTTAATAGATCTTTTGTGTTTATAACCATTTTTTTTTTACTTAGCCTGGCTATGTAATCTTTATTTTCAGATTAGTAGGATAGTTGAAGAACAAAGATGCACAAGAAGGCTAAATGAAAGACAAGTAACTGCCCTGTTAAAGGCAACCTGTCAGCGTCCTTTTGATAGGGAGAATAGCATAAAGGAGGTAGAAAATTCTTGAAGTCTTTTGTTTCCATTGTAGAGAATGTCAGATCTGATGATTAGTCTATGTTTTTTTTCTTGTACTTTTTCGTAATTTTTTCTACCTGAGTGTCTATTTGTTTTGCAGATAGTGAGGAAAAACAATTACAATGGAGATCAATTTGCAAAGGAGTTCGGGATTCAAGTTGGTGCTGAACTTGCCCAGGTTGATGCTCGAGTCCTGCCTCCACCGATGGTAATTACTCTTTATGTGTTTCTCATGGGGGCAATGAAGTTCTCTCTAATTCATTTGGCCTAACGTCCTAGCCCATGTTTGCTGCAGCTTAATTATCATGAAAGCAGCCAAGAAGCGTGGTTTACTCCTGCATTAGGGCAGTGGAATATGATTAACAAGGTAAGGTACCAGTTATCTGGCTCTGTGGAATAACATGAACAAGAGATTGTGCTTATATATTTCTAACTCTAAGGATTGTAAGTATTATGCACTGCTAGAGATGAAAGTTTCATTGCTGCATGTATTAAGAATTTTATTGTGGACTTGTTGCTTTTTACAACCGAGGTCCCTTGAATTGGGACTTCTTTCATCATACAACTTGAAATGCTACATAGATTTTTTAATTGTTTTAGTATTTGATCCTGTTGCTATAGTAATTTTTATACTGAACTTGAAGGGCCTTTTGATTGATTTTTGCTACTTAGAATTTCTCTTGTTGTGTGTGCTTGTAGAATGTCTCTACTTGATATGCCTTGTGATAAAAGCTAATTTTTTATTTTCCACAATGATTATTGCATCTCAGTAAACTTGTGTAATTTTCTTTTGCAGAAAATGGTCAATGGTGGGCGGGTTAAATTTTGGACATGTGTGAACTTTTCCACACTTCTGAACCGTGATTTGCCATTCCAATTTTGTGAGGAGTTGGTGAATATGTGTATAAGGAAAGGAATGGTATGTGTGTCTTTTCTATTGTCAGGTCTTGTTAGTGATTAGTGACATGCTTGCTTCAACTTGTTTTTTTTTTTTTTTTCTTGATTGTATTGTAGGAATTCAACCCGAACCCTGTAATTCCTATTCATTCGGCTAGCCCTAACCAAATTGAGAAGGCTCTCAGAAATATTCACGGGCACTCTACAGCAGAAATTGCGAGGAGTTGGCAGCAAGGGAAACAACTTCAGTTGTTAATTATTATTTTACCCGATGCTACTGGGTCATATGGTAAGTAACAGCTGCAAGTAAATTTTTTGACCAAAACCTGATTGTCATAATTAATTGGACCATTCTATCTGCAGGAACCATTAAGCGGATTTGTGAAACAGAATTAGGTATTATCTCACAATGCTGTCAGCCCAGTCAGGCTTCAAGACTCAGTAAGCAATATTTTGAAAATTTGGCCCTGAAGATCAATGTGAAGGTTTGTTCTACCCTGTTTTTGTGCTTTTTTTGCTCTAATCGGTGGGATTTGTTTTTGTAACATCTTCAATGAATACTGTGTTGCAAGAAAGAAATGAATTACAAGGGATAGGAAAGCAAGCCAGTGTGGGGAGTGAAATGTTTGATTGTATCTGTATAAAGTCATCTAAATGATAGAGATAGATTGTGGGATTGAGATGGACCCTTTATAACCTTTTAAATTTACCCTGATAACATTTGTTTGATTTTGATGCTGTAGAATTTATGACAAACAAGTGCCAGTATTCCTGGTTGAAGTTTTATTTTTTTGCTAAAAGTTAAAGATTTAATTATTCTTTTGTTCAATGTAAAATTTACCAGGTTGGAGGTAGAAATACTGTGCTAAATGATGCTATTCGAAGAAGAATTCCTCATGTGACAGATCGCCCCACAATTATAATCGGTGTGGATGTCAACCATCCAGAACCGTGCAAGGACTCTAGTCCTTCGATAGCAGCAGTATGTTCAAATATACTTCTCCTTTTGCTTTTAAGTGATCAGTTTGTTGAAGGGTTGAATTGGCTGTCAGGTTGTCGCTTCTATGGATTGGCCAAAGGTAACCAAGTACAGAGCATCAGTGTCTGCTCAGACTCACCGTGAAGAAATTATCCAAGATCTTTATAGTTCCGTTCAGGATCCCAAGTGGGGATTAGTTCATGGAGGAATGATCAGGTAATGAATTGATGTGGTAAATTTTGTGTAATATTTAGAGGGGAACTTATACTCTTGCTGTTTTTACAGGGAGCTATTAATTGCATTTAGAAGATCAACTGGACATAAACCTCATAGGATTATTTTCTATCGGTAAAAATTGAAAAACTTGATTTCAATCATTTGTTGTATATTTTATAGAACATCAATAATATTGTGTAATTTGCATGGCAGTGGTGGTGTTAGTGAAGGCCAATTTAGTCAAGTCTTGCTTTATGAGATGTCCTGGCCATTTTTATAGAGCATCAATAATATTGTCTAATTTGCATGGCAGAGATGGTGTTTCTGAAGGCCAATTTAGTCAAGTCTTGTTGTAAGAGATGACTGCCATTCGACAGGTAATATTGATATATTAATTTCCTTTTAGGATTAAGGGGTTATTCTCTTGTTGTGTATTAGTAATGATGGGAACATTGGTTCTAAAAGTTGGGGATTGATTGAGATGTGATTGATATGGGCATGCATGATAACGCAAATGTTGAAGTAAATACAGTTATGTTGGATATAATGTTGTTGTTTTAATCTTTAGCTGAATGATATAATGAGTGTTCTTATGGTGTGGGTTTTATCCATTCTTGACAATACAACTGTTCTTTCCAGGCTTGTGGCTCATTGGAGGAGGGATATTTGCCTCCGGTTACGTTTGTTGTGGTGCAGAAAAGTCATCATACCCGACTTTTTCCAGCAGACCATGGGAATCGTGATCTGACAGACAAGAGTGGCAATATTCAACCAGGTTTTGTGCTCACTTCTGTGTTTTCTTTTCCTAGATTTGTTGAGAATTAGTTTCCCTTTGTGGATAAATATTTTCTTCTATCCTGCTTTTAGGTACTGTTGTTGATACCAAGATTTGTCACCCTACCGAGTTCGATTTTTACCTCAACAGCCATGCTGTAACTCAGGTACATACTTTGTTTATGTGTTAAAATGTTAAATTAATTTCCACAGGTCAACCTGCTTCTGTTATGATTCAGATTTGCTTAATGTATGTGAATGTTTTTTTCTTTGAATAATCCTATTTGCGGTCTTTTTATTTAGGGAACTAGTCGGCCAACACACTATCATGTGTTATATGATGAGAATCGTTTCAATGCTGATGACTTGCAAATGCTGACAAACAAATTATGTTACACGTAATATGTTTTCCTAATGACTGTATTATTAAAATAATTTGTTCTTTTTTATAATTAATTTGTGTTAATTCTCAACTCTTTTGAGGTTTTTTCAGGTATGCAAGGTGCACTCGATCAGTTTCCATTGGTATGACCCTGTGTACCTATGTTGTTTGTATTTATTATTTTCAATCTAACCCTAATTCATTTGTGTTGATTTACATATGCAGTACCTCCAGCTTATTATGCACGTTTAGTAGCTTTTCGCGCACGCTATTATATTAAAGGCTCTAACCGAAGTGGGAGCAAGGGCAAGGAGGCCGAGGACGCCAGGGGCACGAGGGAGTTCCGGCCACTTCCAATAATCAAGGATAACGTGAAAGACGTGATGTTTTACTGTTAAAACTTTTGTTCTTGGAAAGGATTAAGCTTTTTGTTAAGGGTGTCTGCATCTGGAAAATTTGGGAAGGGAAACCATACTGATGTCTTTTTGATGAAACTTTGTTTGGTAGTGATTCTGGAAAAATATTTTATATAGGCAGATTTTATACTCCTTGTAAATGCACACCCCTTCTATGCAAACAAATCCAGATGGGAAATCCAGTTCTTGTAAATGCACACACCCCTTCTGATTAAGATACCCAATTTGGTTATTATCCTCTTTGTTATGTCAGCAATTTCTATATCATTGGATCGTATTGAATTCATGCATAAAGTTTTTTATAAAAAAATCAAGTAAAATTATAAGTTAAAAGATTCCATCCCTAACAATAATAATAATAATGCATTTATACCAATGTTTTAATAACCAACTCGGGGTTCATCCCTGGCAAAGTTGTTGGTCCTGGGTTGACCGGTTTAACCAATGTCAAAAATTTTAAAATTCAGTAAATACAGCCCTATAAATTATAGTTAAGTCCTTGAAGGTTTGAAATTTAGCAAACACACCCCAAATACAAATCGACCATCAATTGGTTGACGGTGGCATTGTTTTAAAACCCAGCCTGGCCTGACCGATTCAACTGGGACGTAGGGCTTTTATCGGGCTGGATTACCTATTTCATTATTCACCGAAAACCCTAAAAATTGGGATGATGATCAACGAACAATTGAAGGTCGGAATGTTGGGGCTTTTGAAGAGAAAGTGCTGGTGAGTACAATGGTGGTGACAAAGTTGATTTCTAGTAAGTGAATTGACTGAAAATAGAAAAAAATAGGTGGCGACAACAATCAGCTTTTGCTGACGATTGGCGAGGTTAACGGGGGTGGCATGAGTGGGTTTTGGTCAAGAGGAAGAGAGGAGACACCAGTGTCAGTGAGATCTAGCCTGGAATGTCAACACCGATGTTAGAATGTCGACGTCGGTGTCAGTGAGATCTGACCGAAATCTGTTTGATTTCGAGAACCGATTTTGGCCAGATCTTGGGTAGATTTTCTAGGGAATGGGCTCAAAGGATAATTGGGATTGCATTTGAGGTGTCGTCATCGCCAACCAGTCGACTGTCGATTTGTATATGAGGTGTGTTTGCTAAATTTTAAACTTGTAGGGACTTAATTATAATTTTTAAGGGTGTATTTGTTGAATTTTAAAATTATTATCACCTAATCTATCAAACCGATTAAACCGGTCAACCTAAGACCCGATAACTTTGTCAGGTTTCACCTTAGGTTTGGTTTTAAAACATTGGGCGGTGGCGACACACCAAATGCAATCCTAATCATCCATTAAACCCATACCCTAGAAAATTTACCCAAGATTTGGGTGAACTCAACCGATTTCTACTAGATCTCACCACCGTTGACGTTGACAGCCCTCCCCATCACCACGGAAATACTCCCTCAACCTCTTGACCAAAATTCATCTCACCCCACTCTCGTTCACCTTGCCAATCGTCGACAAAAGCCACTGAAAATCAATTATGTCGCCATCATTGCACTCACCGGCACTTTCTCTTCAAAAGCCCTAACATCCGGTCCTTTAATTGTTCGTCAGTCATCATCCCAAATTCTAGGGTTTTGGGTGAATAAGGAAATTGTTAACCCAGCTCGGTAAAGGTCCCAAGTCCCGGTTTAACTAGTCGGGTCGAGCCGAGTTTTTAAAACACTGATTTATATAGAGGTAGGCATTTAGGACCGGACCCAAAAAGCTCACCCAAAAACCCTGAGGACCGTTGGATGCTCAATGCAATGGTCAGTTGACTGTTGGCAAGCAATGGTCATAAGGGGTGGGGGGTCTTCCCCCCCAAATGTCAACTATGAAAACCCCCTTATATTTCACATTTTCTTCACAACTCAACTCTCAATCTATTCTCTTCTCTCAATCTCGCTACTCCAAATCTCAAATTCTCTTCAATTCAATTTATATTTATATTTACATTTATTCATATTATTCAATTTTTTCCATTTTTCAATTTCATCTATTATTCATATTATTATTCAATTTCTTCATTTTAATTATTTATTATTTTATTATAAATTCATAATGGATTCTTGAACTTATGCATTCGGAGGATCATCCCCAAATCAATATTACGTTTTATCCACCGAAGAAATGGAATGGTTCAATCCATTTTCACCCTTTCAAGAGGCAACAACTCCAATTCCACAAACACAAACGGTCGGGACTGGGTCCAACCAAATACAAGCGAGTTGCGACTCCATAGCTTGACCGTTAAAAAGGGTCGTGTCTGGGGTATGGCACTTCTTCACCAAATCGAAATGGCTAAGCTAAAGGGTTAGGGGAAGAGACATGTGGGGAATGCAATTTTTGTTCAACCGTTATTGGCGCTCGGAACAGGGCTTCAACGATGCGGCAACACTTGGAGAAGAAGCGTCCCTAACAAATGTAGTAGTCATGTTAGTCCGGTTCAGGTTCAGGTTCAAGTACCGCACTAGGCAAGCAAATTTAAACTCAACTTAATTTTAATCCACAATTCTCAACTCTCTCAACATGGAATTACAATGCACTCACAGCATGAGAGGAAATAGCAAAATTCATATGTGCTACGGACTCTTCTATTTCTTTATCTGAAAATCCTTATTTTGTTCAAATGATTAAAACTGCTTTTGTCCAACATTTACCCTTTTAGTAGAGCTACAACTAAAAAGGACATAAAAAACCTTTATGATAAAATAAAAAAATCAACTTAAAAATGAATTTCAAAATTTTAGCAATATATCTATCGCACTTACTTCAGATATATGAGCTGCTAGATCAAAAACAAATTTTTTGAGTGTCACAATACATTATCTAGATCATGGTTGGCATTTACAACAAAAATTGAGAGGTTTTAACGCATTATACAAAAAACACAGTGCTGAAACTATTTATTTTACAATTATTGAAGTTTTGCAAGAATATTTATTATTTGAGAGAGTTATGGCACTAACACTTAATAATGCAATTGCTAACACCTTGGTAATTTCTTTATTTGAAAAGAGATTGGATTCGCATGGTGAAGACAAATTTTTTCATTAAAGATGTGCTTGCCACATCATCGATTTGATTGTTAAAGCAGGTTTAAAAGCTATACATTCGAGGATTGTAAGGGTGAGCATGGCTATCAGTTTCATCGCTGGTAGCAATTCAAGATGGACTAAATTTCACAAATATTGTCGCCAAGAGGATCCGTCAATTCAACCAAAGAAGTTATGTACATACATGCTTGTTCATTGGAACTCTAAATACCTAATGTTGGAGAAAGCTATACCAACCGCAAGACAAATTACAGAGTTTGTCAACCAGAAGAACTATCCAAGGTCGTCAACAAATCCGATTGGACAATTTCCGAACTATTTTTTTCGTTTCTTAAAGTTTTTTATGATTCCACTAATCTATTAAGTGGTATTTATTATCCTACTACTAATGTAGCATTAAATGTTTTATTCGAATTTCTACAACTTTTGCTACATATAGATATAATGAAGATTTGCCCGACATTATTGTTGCAATGAAAAAATTACCAGAAATATTGGTTAGATATTCCATTCTTATATGAATTAGGTCTTATTGTAGATCCTAGATTTAAATCAAGCGTATTTAATTGTATGTCCTACATGATCACGAAGGAGAAGTGTAAGATGAATGTGCTACAATGGTGGAACCACAATGCAAGTCAATTCCCTATAATAGCCCAAATGGCACATGACATTTTATTTGTGCCAGTTTCGACAATTGCATCTGAGTCAACATTCTCAATTAATGGCTGCATTGTTGAAGAGAGAAGATGTTCTTTAACCAATAAAATGATTGAAGTCATAACATATTTATGAGATCGGACTCATGCGGATAGAATAGATCAACAGCACCCTGAAGATCCCGAACTACTCAATCTCTTCAGAAACATAGATTTGGAGAATGTAAATATTATTGATGATGAAAATTAACAATTTAATTGTTTATTTGTGAAGTGTGATTGTGTGAATATTATATTTATGTTAAACTTAAAATTAAATTATTATTATTTCTTTAAAGTTTAAATTAAAAACACCTTAAATTTATAACCAATTAAAAATTTACAAATTACCAATAAAAATTAGATTAAACCCCATATATAATTTTGATTAAGTCCCTAAATAAATAAATAAAATATAAGGGGGTAAATGAAATTATTTAGGTCAGTCC